TCATCTTCAAAAATATATTTCCTGATGTTGGCCAAGTGATGTAATGCAGCAAATTGATATCGATTTTGTTCATTTGTATTGTTAGTCTTAACTTTAATAACAGACTTACGAGGACGATAACCAAGGAATAAACGATAACGTTGTATCGTGCGTTCGGTAGTATTGAAGTTCGTGAGTGATAATAATTCAGCAGCAGTAGCTGATCGGTTTTGTTGTATAGTTTGATCAAGTTGTTTAATTTGTGCTGAATCGAGTGCAGGTGGACGACCAGCATTATATCTATCTGTATAATTTACATCATTATGGCGACCATAATAATCAATGACATCGTATATTGTAGGACGGTGACACTTGAAGGAACGTGCTATTTTTGAGATATTTATAGAACCTTTTTTCCACTCACAGATGATATACCAGCGTTGTTCTTCAGTTAGTCTATACATTTTCGATGAAATCATCGAGCAAAAAAATAGGGAGCAAACACAAAATATACAAAAGCAAAATATACAACAAGCCGACCATTAACTAGATTTTTATTTCTGTTATAAATATCTATACTTTTACTACTCATATATATCAAAGAAAATTTCTTCTAACTACAAACTCTATATTTTAGAGCAAAAACCAAGTATACGGTTAATTTTGTCGTTGGTAGTTGGCATCACCATCTCCAATATATGAAGTATATTTAATTTTATATTTTGATAAGGATCGGCAAAACATTTCATGAATCATTTCTCTTTCCATTGCACCTGATGTTCCTAAATTACAGAGACTTATGACAAAGTATTGTATAATTCATAAGAGGTACCTGTAAAATTCAATTGATATTCATGATTCTCCTGAAATGTTTTAAATAAATCAAAATTAAAATGACGTAGACTTTCTGCCCCTTGACATTTAATACACGTTTTAGAACACCAATTAGTATCTATAACTTTTGGATTGGCTGTCGTTGAACATAAATATCTGCTTCAACGACAACCTCTTCAACAGCAGTAATCATTGATTGTTCTTGAGCTTTCTCAACATAATTTAAAATAAATTCTTGTACTTCACGGTGCTTGTGTTTCTGAATCGGTGATGGTAGATTTAAAGCACCTAGAAATTTCATGATTTCAGTACGATCTAATCTACATAGAGTACTACCAATACCTAGCCGAATATTAATCTTATGACGTCTACCAGCTGGCATTTTCGGTGACGAATATAAACGAGTGAGAGATTTACAATTATAGCACATGAATTCAAGCTGCATGTATAATCTATTGCATTCTTTGACAGTTGTGGATCCGTCCCAAAATTTATTGTAATCAGGACATAAAAATTGTTTTAGTAATGAGATTAAAGAATTCATATGTATAATTAAATTAAAATTAGAATTATCTTCAACATTCTGTTTGTTTGATGTCGACTGACTTTGCATCGACATCATTGATTCTTCGTTGATGCTTGATGATGATGATGAATGGTCTCTCTTCCTCTTTAGATTATCTGGACGAATTCGTTTCATAATTAATCCTTTACTTTTCTTTTTGTAGCAAATATTTCTTTTACCCATTGAAACCTATTTTTACGACTAACAACATATAACATATTGTATTACGAAAAATAGTCATCACTTATTGCTGAAAATACACTTGACAACTGATTTTAATCAACAAATATATTAAAGGGATCACAAATAAGATATTTTATTTTATTTACGATTTTTCTTGTCTTTAAAAATATATACGTTTTATATTGGTGTGAAATGAAATGAAAATGAAAAATGAAAATGAAAATGAAAAACTGTGTGTATGTATATGTACATAGGATCACATGTTGAACAATAGTACATAGAATGATGATTACGCCAGGCGTGTTGAACAATAGTACAAAGAACGATAGTCACGCTAGACATTGAGCAATATTGTTAACAACGATGATTGCATCAGATGCAGAAAAGTAGACTATTGAAAGATAACATGATCATCAGGGGTCATCTCAGTAGCAGGTACTTATTCTCCCAATAAAAATTGAGCTACACATTAGTGGTCAATATTTTCATCCCATTGTGTCATTTATAAATATATTCTCGAGTAACAATACGCATCAAGCTATTATACTTTAGCGATACATGCAAACTATAGCCATCACTGTGAAAGATCAGCAGTTTTTGAAAAAAGTGTTATTTTCCAGAATAGTAGGTTGCCGAAAAATTGAATTTACATTGTGAAAACTCATCATAAAACCCATAAACTAAAGTGCGTTCGATAGCGAAGACTTTGCTCTATCAAATGCACTATAAATAAAAAAAAATCGAAAAATTCGACAAAAATCGACATTTCAGAGTGGGGAAGCCTTAATAAGAATGATTGCGAGGCCATCATACCACACAAATTAGTTCATAGTCTCATTTTCATATCACTTATCGAGCATTCATATTTCCACATCCCACATGAATTTCAAACAACGAAAATAGCAAAATAAGATATATTTCGATAATTTTATTTTCGGCATTTTTTCTGTTTGAGATTTTAACTTTTCGACATTTCTACTTTCTACAATTTCATTTTCAACATTCTTCTTTCGACATAAATTGTGTGAATGAAAACTAATGCATTCATTTACAAAAAGTGTACATTTTGTACACATAGAAATACAAGCACGCATCTTTAAGCTATCGATAAAAATTAATCACAATGGATATATTGAATGGGTTAGAAACAGATACAGTAGAAATCGTTTTTTCTCGGATGCATGAGTCACCCATAATCCTTTCGTAAGGTCCCAGGTCAAAAAATCAGGCGTAAGACCTTGTATGATTAGATGAAATTATACAAGAAATTGTCGCCCCTGAAATCTTACAAGGTAGTAAGATCTTGCAAGAATCTTGTAATATGAAGTAACTCAAGATTTCAGGAATGACGATTTTCCATACGTTTTTTCATCTGATTTTGTAAGATCATATAAGAGCAGAGGATATAATCTTGTAAGATCTTACCGACTGATTTTTCGACCTGAGATTTTGTGTGTGGTCTTCAACCTGATTGTATATTTTTTTTTGTTCATGGTCATAAATTGAGTTGAGTAGCTCAAATCTTATCGATAGGATAACCCTGCCTATGATGGTTTTCAGTTTTCTATCATATACCGATACAAATAGAAGCTATACTATGCTTGTCTAAGTGTTGATCATAACATGTATGATTAATTTTCCATAG